GTGACTCTCGAAGAGCCCTTCACTGGAGGGACATCCGGTGACTGTCACGGGTGAAGGTGATGGTTACTATCACAGGTAGAGGTCTGCGTAAAGGCGTGGTCCACCTGCAGAGCCCACCAAGTCACAGTCCCAGGGACTGGCCCAATGCCCAGTGCCTGGGGCAGGAGAATCAAAGCACACCTAGCAGTGCCCAATGGAGAGGTGGCTCCCACAGCCTTCCTGGGAGCCTGCGACCGGGCCTGCCTGGGACCCCTGTACCTTCCCCACGGGACATCTTCTCCACACCTGTTCTCCTGTTGGGCTGGACAAGCCGGCTCTGGAGACCATTTTCTTCACTTAAACCTGTTATGCTTTGCTCAGCTCATGTCTTCCATAACCGTTTCACAAACTCTCCCTGCTCAGTGATCACTGTCATTTATGCACTTTGCCAATGCAGTTTTACACAGCTTAAGTCTCTCATGGGTGAGAAAAAGGAGGCAGCTCTGGTATTCTTTTCCTGAGGACTAGTTTCCATGATAGTCATATGTATGTTCTTTATTTCTTTTTTGGGATCCTGAGTATTACTTTCCAAGCATTTTTGCTTCTTGGGGAGGCCGTACAAGTTCTATGTGGAATTGTCTTTGTTCTTATACACGGAGAATATTTACTTTTTTTTTTTTTTAGCAGCTGATACAGGTTCTCAAAGAGAACACCCATCTTTGTCGGGCAACACCCTGAGGGGCTTCTAGGTGGGACAGAGAAGACTCCCACGGATGCTGGGAAGCAGGTGTGAGTTGGGGGAAGGACCCAACAAACATTAAACGAGAGTAGGGATGGTGCTGAGGTAGGTGGGGAGAGGGTCTCAGAACCCAGCTGTGTGTGACTCTGAGGTCTGGCTGTGGCTGGTATAAAGCCTCCCTCCTAGGTCCCCTGCAAAATCTGGGACAAAGCCGACGTCAGCCCTGGGCTTCTGTGCAGATGATGTTTTGGGGGGACATGCAGGACTTTAAGACCATAGTGAACGTTTTGGCTACATTTTTCCCCGCCATGAACTGCCCACAGCTCTCTGAGTTCACCGTTTTCCTTTCTCTTACCTTCACAACCCAAACAACTGCTTTGTGTGGTTACTTTTTTCCTCTCCCCCACCCCCCAGAAGAGTCACCCCCTTTACTCTCAGGAGCAGCAAGCACCATCCTTCCCTTCCCTCCTTCCACTCTGGACACTGTTCCAGTCACGGTAACTGCAAAGCGCAGAGGTGGCTCTGTAGCGGGCTTCCTACCTTGCCAATCATGGTCCTTTCCTGCTTGGTGCCCAACACCTGTCCTGCCTGTGCAGTGCCCCAGCCCCCATCTGCCGGCCCCCATCTGCAGTGCTCCCACCTGGAGCCAGCTCTGTGCGACCCGTGCTTGCAATTTCTTCCACTGGAGCCTCCAGATGCCCCCACCCCACCCCACAGCGTGCTTCCTGTTGCTCCGGGGCCCAGAGAGAGGTGGGATTCACTCATCCTTCCCATGCCACAGCCTCTGCCCCCTCATTCCCATCACTTTCCGCATGAGTTCAGTGAATTCTAGGAAGTGCCCCTCACCTCCGTCATGTACTTGTCCTCTGTCACTGACCCTCCAGGCTCCTCTTGTCCCTCTCCTCTCCTGCACTGACCCCTCATCCATTCTGGAAAGGCCACTTCTCCCTGGTGACTTTCTTACTAGGGTCAGTGCAGAGTGTTCTTGATGGTTTCTCTGTCTCTCCAGAATCTGTTTTTATCATCTGGCTAATTGATAACAATATACACCTAATTTTGCCAAGAGTTGCATCAACTAGACTTTTTCCCCAAAAGCCCCGCTATGCCTCAAAACAAGAGGTGTCTAAACACCTTTTGCATGAGCTTCGCACCCAGTAAGATGGTTATTATACAAAAAATAAGTGTTGGCGAGGATGTGGAGGAAATGGAAGCTTTGTGTGTCGTTGGAGGTATAGCCCTCATGGAAACCAGCGTGGTGGCTCCTCGGAAAGTTGCACAGAGACTTACTGTGTGATCCTGCACTCTCCCATCTGGGTATATGCCCAAGAGGACGGAAACCGGTGACTCCAAACACTCGCGCACCTTTGCTCACAGCAGGACTTTCACAAGAGTGCAAAGGCAGAAGCAGCCTGAGACGATGAGCACCGACCCCAGGCAAATGGGTCGGTGAGAGGTGGGACGTGCAACGGAATCTTCTCTGGCTGTGGAGGGGAAGGGTGTGCTGACAGACGCTGTGGCGTGGACGAACCCTGAAGATGCGCACCGAGTGAAGTGTGGACAAACATTGCACAATCCTTGTAGGAACGAGTTTCCCAGAACAGTCAAATTCACAGCTATGGAAAGGGTGGAGGTTGCAAGGGGCGGGGGGAGGGTGCATGGGGGACAGCACATCTGCTGAGGGTCGGGACACATTCCGGAGAGGGACGGTGGAGAGGACAGCTGCACGAGCCTCTATGAACTTCATGCTACTGCGCGGTTGCAGATGGTTCAAACGGCGAATTGCACGTTATGTGTATCTTAGTGTATTTTTAAAAAAAATAAAGACATGTTCAAGGTTGGGTGAGCAAAGGGAGAAACCCTACGTGTGACTGCGCAGCTACAGTGGGCATGCGGTCCCTCGGGACCACCTCTCTCGTCAGGAAGCTCTGGGTCCTCTGTGACCCACACCCGACGAGGCCGTCGGCGGCCCCTCCCTGAACCCCCAGAGTCAGAGACGCCTGCAGGGAGCCCGCTGCTGGGATCCAGCGGCCGCGTCTCCCTCACCCGTAGCCGCAGGAACAACCTTCCCTTCTGCTACCATCTAACGAGCTCGACTGAGTTGGTTTGATTTCTCCTTGTTCTTTTCGAGCCTGTGCATGGGCCTTTAGTGACTCTCGAAGAGCCCTTCACTGGAGGGACATCCGGTGACTGTCACGGGTGAAGGTGATGGTTACTATCACAGGTAAGGGGTGGTGGGTGACTGTCACGGGTGAGGGTGATGGTGACTGTCACAGGTAAGGGGTGATGGGTGACTGTCACGGGTGAAGGTGATGGTTACTATCACAGGTGAGGGGTGGTGGGTGACTGTCACGGGTGAGGGTGATGGTGACTGTCACAGGTGAGGGTGGTGGGTGACTGTCACACATGTAATTTTAAATAAATTATACAGAATTTATCTTCCTGGTTAGACTCCAGGCACGAGAGCTGTCTCATGACCAAGGCCGGTGCCCGTGGTCTTTCCAGTCTCTGGCCGTGGAGGTGGACAGTTGGGCTCTAGCATCTTTCTCCTTAGTGTCTCCCACACGGCCTCGCTGAGTCCGCACCCACTTCCTGGTGTGTCTGCCTCTCTGACCCAGCTCTGCGCGCGGCTCCCGTCTACACCTCTCTCTGGGCCTCTGCCCACACCCCCGGCTGCCTAAAGCGCCCCCCACCCATCGCTGCACGACCCGCAGCTCTTCCGGCAAGTCCAGCTGCCCCAAATGAGCCATGCCCAGCTCGCGCTAGCCTTCCCTGCCCCTTGGGTACCACCTCTGAACAAACTACCAGCTCCCGGCTCCGCCAGGCCTTCTCTGAGCGCGCGGAGGGGGCCGCCCGTGCGTCCTTGTCCCAGCGGCGCACCAGTGCAGAGCGGGCGTGTTTGTCAGAAGAGCGAGTCCCCCCACCACCCTGATCCTCGCAGCGAACGTCTGTCCTGTGGATCTCATTCTTAGATTTCTATACTAGTGGGGCTCTCCCTCCTTTACCTATTTTTTTTTTAAAGATTTCATTTATTCATTTGAGAGAGAGAGAGACCGTGCGCATGAGCATGGGGAGGGGCCAAGAGAGGAGGAGAAGCAGACTTGCCGCTGAGCAGAGAGCCTGATGCGGGGCTTGATCCTGGGACTCTGGGATCATGACCTGAGCCTAAGACAGATGCTTAACTGACTGAGCCACCCAGGGGCCCCTCTCCCTCCGTTAGAATTGTTTGGTTCCTTGCTCTTTGCTCTAGCCGAGAGATGAAGGAGTGATGTCTAATCTGTAGCTGGTATCAGCAACTGCAGCATAGAGGCCCCGAACAGTACGGGCGCACTTATGCCTACTTGTATCACGTCATGCTCCCCCCTTGCTTCATGTATCACTGTGTCACTTTCTGTGCTCGTTTACTGCCTCCTTGGATAGCTCGAGCCCCAAAGCCCCAGGGTTCCCACAACTGTCCCGACAGAGGCAGGAGCTGGTGCTCTCTGGCCGTAATTCCAGCAGAAGGGGAGGTCTCAGTGCCAGGAACCTCGGGGAGGGACTGTCTGCTCTGCCAGGAGAAGGCCTTAGGGGTCACCCATTGTCCCCAGCAATTTGTCCTTTTTGAATCCCAGATGCCTAGGCAAGACCCCTGTTCTGTGTGCCAGAGACCCCTGGACTTGAGTTTCCTGGTGTCAGACTCCTGACAGCTGATGAACCCACACAGTATCTGAGAGCTCCAGGCTCTGCCTGGCCCCCCTGCTGGCTTCTGAGTGGCATCTGGAGATTTTAGGTGGTTTCATCTTGCCTCGGCCCTCCCAGCGTGAAGGGATCTACACTCATCAGCGCAATGAACGTGGTGAGTGGTGCCTGGCGCCTCTCTTCACTTTCCCCAAAGGGACGTCTGAAAACGTGGCCCACGGTTCAGTGCCTCCCTCCCAACAGCCCCTGTCAACATACCCAACAGAGTCTAATCTCGAAGTCACTGCATCGGGCAGGAAAACGATGATGGATCTCACTGTCAGACCCTCTCGCTTACTGGCGTGACAACAGAGCAAAATAGAGCTGAGAGGAATACGGGTCTATTTTTGGCAGCTCCTTACGGAATTCGTGCACACTGTGTATTCTGCATCATTTGAATCCTTGAGCACACTTGGAACTCGGAGGCAAACACTCATTTGTAAATGTTACAGCTGCCAAGGTTGGCTGGCAGCTCCACTGGGTGACGAGTTAACTCTCACAGGGAAATGGGAGGAATGCTGGGAGCTGGGTTCTGGCCAGCGGGGAAGGCTAGCTGGCGCGGGCTTACCTTGACCCTGTCCATACAGGCTTCCATCTTGAGCTGCTCTACAGCCTTCCTGGCTTGCGAGATGCTAGTGGTGCTGTTGTTGGACATGACTTCTTTCATTCTGCTGCCCCTGAAACAAGTGAAGTTGACGGGTTGGAAGAAGCTGACCCTCCTCGCCGTTCTCCCCTCTCCCACCGCCTACAGCTTCTCTGTCCCAGCCGGGGAGCATTGGTGAGAAAACGCTCCCTGGACAAGGGAAAGAAAGACATGCTTCTTTAGAGTGATGGGCGTGAGACGCTCCATTGTCAAGATGGTCTCAACAGTGGGTAGACCAGATGGTCCCAGCATTACTTCATTACTCCCATGACTGTAAGGAACGCCTTAACTTTTGTGCAGTACTTTGTTGGTAATAAATCATTTTCTTACACATTTGTTCATTTACTCTTCTAACAGCCCTGAAGGTTGGCAAAACATACTTACTAACGCACATACTAACAAACTAAATTCTGTTTTGTAAGTAAAGACGTGCAAACCTCAGAGAGGTTCTGCAAGCCAACAGCTAAAGTGCTCACGGCCAAACTCTGTGGATCCTGAACCCAAACTCAAAGCTGGGAAGCCCAGCCAAGGGTTCTTTCCACGGTTTCACGTGGCCCTCTGGCAATCCACTGCTCTAAGTACCCGTTTCCCCTGGAAACAACTGCTTTATTATTAATTTTAATTTGCTCTCATTCCTAAAACCTTACAGACTCTGTGCTGGGAGTTTGTTTTTAAGCATTAACACACATACATACACACACCCCTATCCCCAGCATAGATTTGTTTTTCTTGAAGAAGGAAGAAATCCCCCTGATCTGATTTGGAATGATGCCACACGACTACGAAGAAGCCTCTACAATGCTCACTGTTCCACAAGCAAGCATCGGTTCCTGCATCGATTTCCACATAGATGCCGTGGTTTCAGGTGCCCCAGCTAATGGCCAAGTAGTTTTACGTGGAAGGGGCCTGAGAGCTGAAGATGGGCCACACAGGGAGCTTCCAAATGTTTTTCAAAGGCACACAGGGAGGCGTGAAGAGGCCTGGCCAGCATGTCAGCGCACATGGCGTGTTCTGAGGGTTCTGCACATTTGTGCTAACTCTGGTCCACGTGAGGCATGGTGGCGGTTTCATGTGTCCACGGGCAACTTTTCAAAAAGCAGAAGTCTCTTGTTACAAGATACAGAGCAGCTGCCTAAATCAGAGTTTGACAAGTGTGTGTTCTTGTCTCGCTTGGGAACTTCTACTCAACAAGAAGAGGAGAATCAGGAGTAGCGGGGGCTTGGGGACCCGGTGAACAGCCATCCGCACCCCACCGTGGAGAGACGTGCTGGTGCTTCTCCACGGTTTCAGGTTGGTGCGTGTCCCTGTGCGTGTCCACAAGCCCGAGGTACCTGCTCTGGGCCTGTGTGTGCATGTGTGGCTGTTCCCCCATGGATGTGTGTGTTTATGTGTATCCGCGTGCCTGTGTGTCCACAAAAAGGAAGGAGGAGACACACACAGGGTTTCCAACCCTCTCCAGCCTGATGCACGCCAAAAAGGATCCGAAAATCATTGTCTTCAGATCCTGAATCTCCCTTCCCATTCCAGAGCTCAGCCTCTTTCCTTCTGACTTTGGGCTTTTAGGAGTTACGGAGGTCACCGAAGGGGGGCACAGGCACGGCTGAGGAGAGGGCAGCTGCGGCCAGGGTCAGCAGCAGTGAAGAAGGAAGACACAGGGGAAGGGCCAGGGCCGGGTGGGGGGGTGGGTCTCTGCACCATGAGCGTGTGGGGGTGGGGATGGGGGAGTGTACGAGGGGGCGGCGCATCTGCACAGGAACTTCTACCCGCAGAACTGGAGCCGCACAGATGGGGAGAGGCCCTCGCCCTCCCCCAGCCCCAGGCCGGCTGCATGGAGAGCACCGATCCCACCCAGTTAGTGCCACATTCTTCCCCGTTGATGAAGAGGCGCACATTGTCAACATACCCCACTCTGCAGCGTGGAAGAGCTCTGGCTGACGGCTTAATATTGGGGAAAGATCCCACTGAGCCGAGTTTGGGTTCTCGAATCCCAAACATAGGATAAGCTGGCGGGGGCGGGGGGCAGCACTCCAGCACCAGAGACGCATGGACTCTTACCCCTGCCACATCCTCTGTGTCCCCTCCAGACCAGGGGTGTCCACATCTCCAGTGTCACCTCTGAGCCTTCCTTGCTCACCCCCTTACTCTTCCTCAGCCGCAAAGCACCACGTCCCTAGTGTCACCTAGTGTCACAGTCACCTAGCGGACAATCCAACCCATGGTCACTCCCTCCCAAGACTCGTGTCTTTCCTGCCATGTGGGATCCAGCACCCTCCCAGGGAAGGTCTTCAAGACGCCACTGCAGAAAGCCCCCATGTACCAGCACTGGTGCCCATGACACAAGGCGGCCTTCCTAGGTCCTCGAGGCCAGCCGCCATCCCACTCCTGGCCCCGGTCACCCCTTGTTTTCCTTCCTTGTTGGGGCACAAGAGGAGAAACCCCATCTTTGGCTGCATTGACTGGGTCTTGCTATACTGGCCCCTGGGGAATGACCCAGGACAAAGACAGGAGACACATGGGGCCACCTGCCCAGAGCCCTAAGCCGGATGGACCTTGGACAGTCTGCCTCTGAGCCTCAATACTGGGAAAAACTATTCTTCACGGCTGAGGCCCCGTCTTGCGGCTGGAAGTCCCTCTTCATCCAAGGTTGATACAGCACATGTGGTGGCCCGTCCCTCCTTAGGCTCTGCCCTCTCACTCACCCCTCTTTCTTCTGGAATGCTGGTGTCCCTGGGTGCCCTCTCCTCAACATAGAGAAATATATTTATGTCTTTTCTGTCACCTTCAAACAAATAGACAAGAAAACAAAACCCTCACTCCCCTTCGTTTCCACTCTTAAGAAAAAAGGGACAACGGCAGAAGCCCACAGAGGACCCTGACATAACTCATGGTGGAGGTGAAAAAGTAAGGCCAGAGCGCTCCCTTCCTGGGAGGATGACAAGCCTGTTCCGTTCCATCTCCTCTGTCTGTTGTGTGGCCCATCGGTCCTGTCAGACCCCCTCACAGGATGTTGTTCCTCATGTTGTCCTCCGTGACCCTTACAGTTTCATGTCCTTATGTTCATGGTCTCTCTCCAAGAGGCCAGTAAGGTTCCTCACAGCACATGTACTCAGGACCTAGACTGTGACAACCGCCCCCCACCCCTGCCACCCACACCTGGACTGCAGTTCACAAGCTCCTGAGTGACTCCGGCATGGACCACAGGCAGAGAACGGCAGCCGGCTACAGATCACGTGTCCTCCTTTGTTCCTTTTGTTCGTCGGGTCACCTTGGTTCCATGCATCTTCAGGACACTAAGGAAGTCCTTTAGAAGATTTGGTGGCAGTATGAATCTCTGGGGATCTTGCTAAAACACAGATTTTGATGGAGCGGGTTGGGGTTGGTCCAAGCGTGTGCATTTCTACCCGGCTCCCGGCTGCTGCTGGTCCGTGGGCCAGACATTGAGTAGTGTGGCTCTGAACGAATCCCCGGATGTTACTACTAGAAGGGAACATAGAGGTCCAGGTCCAATCCCCTTACTTTTTACATGAGGAAACCTATTTAGGGAGATTAAATAACTTGATCTGGTTGAGCCGCTTCGTGGAAGTGGAAGGAAGCGATTCCCTGGTGTGGCTCCCAGTCTGCTGCCCTTCCCGGACCTCGTAAGGTGTTTGGGGCAGGATGAGGGTTTCTCCCCTGCCCCCTGGTCTATCCTGTTCTCCCAGGACAGACTCACCCCTGCCCCCTGGTCTATCCTGTTCTCCCAGGACAGACTCACCCATCAAGTGAACTTGAACTTTGTCTTGCTTGGGACTGAGATGCCAGGGGGCTTCCCCTGTGGGAGGCAACAAAACCCGGGGAGACCAGCCGGTGCTTCTGCCAAGTGGAGCCGTTGGCAGCTGAGTCTCTTAAAGACGAACCACAGGGGCGCCCGTGACGCCCTCCCTCCCCGCCGGGCCAGGCAGCTCTTAGTGTCCACCTGGGTAACATCTGCCCTTTCGAGGTTATCCAGACCCCGTTCCTGCATGAGAACCGAGGGGTGCTCCCCACATGCCTGTGTGTATGTGGGTCCACATGGACCCGAAAAGAAAAACGGGAGTAGAGACAGAGTGGAGATGAACAAAACCAATGGGCACGCAGCCTCCTGGAGAACGACCAGCTCGGCTATTGGCTTCAGAGAAGACGAGGCAGATGGGAAAATGAGCCGACTGCAAGGGACAGACGCCCTGTCACTGCCCCGGTTAGGGAGTCCTTTCCTCTTGGGTACACGGGAACCCCCTCCCCCACAGACAGGTTTCACAGGGAGAGTCTCTCGGGCTGCGTCCTACAGTGCGCAGCTCAGCGTCTGGCGGGAGGCGGTGGGCAGTGCAAGGGGCACGCAGCTTGGTTTCCCGGTCAAGGTCCAGCAGCCCATGGAGACGGTTTGAGTCCCCTCCCCCTTGTTCCCCAACGGGGGCACATCCATTCACATTCTAAGACAGGCTTCATAAGGGCTGGCCCTCTGCTGTGGCAGGTGGAGAGGGGGACAGGATGGGGACAACCGCTAGAACAAAGTGACAGTGGGAGGAAGCGGCCCCACATCAAGGACCCTGCATGCCCTGCCTCCCCGCAGGCCCCTGCAGGCACTGCTACCAAAGACAGCTGCGCTCCTAGCGGACCGTGCTCGGACGGGACACGCCACTTCCTCACCGGCTGAGAGGCGGCACAGCGACAGGCCTGGGCAGGGACGGGCTGGTGGCTGCAGCAGCAGCTGACGGTCGTCAGAGGAGAGGCTGGTTCGGGGCTCCCGCCTGGAGGCTCACCTGAAAGTGCAAGTAGGGTCGGGTCAGCAGGTGTGGCGGAAGCCGGTGTCCCCCGAACCGCCTGCTGCCCCACGGCCTCTGCTGGCAGACCACACGGGAGGGGGGAGCCCCAGGCAGGAAGGGGAGTCCCAGTCTGACACTGCAGAGTGGGAGCATCTCGGGGCCACAGGCCGCCCTTGCTCTCCCCAGCCTGGATGCGGTGACGCCTCCCCCAGTCCCCCCCACCCCACTTCCAGCCAACCTCCACCAAACAAACAGTTTAGAGGTCTTTCCTTATTACAGAAAGTGAGGCCGATTGTAAAAAAAAGGTGAAGAGAGAGAAAATTACATCAAAGGAAATAAAAAACAACGATAAGGCCTCTTCCCAGAGATGACCACGGTTATTCCTGTGCTTATTAGAAATAAGCTGATTCCGACCGAAGGGCATTCAGCACAGAAGAGGCGACTCGATCAGGTGGCTTTAAGGCTTCTTTAAAGTCAGGGACTCTGCGGACGAAGAGCTTGTTGCCTCCCTCCTCTGGAGAGACGACCCTGGGACAATAGGCACATCCCCCAGGGGTGTCGTCTACACCCCCCCGCAGAACATCCATGTCCTAGGGATCTCGGGGGCCCTGCGGCCAAAACAAAGGCTGGCCAGCAATGGGCTGGACTATGGGGAAGGATGTGTGCAGTCCTGCTCAGTGCATTTTTCCCAGCCCACTGTGGAGGGTACTGCACTTCCGTGCTGCGAGTTTCCCTCACTCCATCTTCCAATGGGAGATAGATAGACAGACAGAAAAGTCCTTGAGAGGAGGCCTGCTGTCCTGCAGGGGCAGAGCCTAAACTCTGCCCCCTAGGCAGGTGACTTTAAAGCCAGGCTCCAGGAGTCTTCCCTGTCCATCCTCTGGACAGACATGAACCCCTGGGGAAGGGAGTGTGGGCTGGGGAACAAGCTGCCAGGCCAACCCAAGTCCCCTCCACACCCTGCCCTTTGCTTCCTTCAGTTATCTAATCTTCATTCCTTTTTTTTCCCTTAAGATTTTACTTATTTATCTATTTGAGAGAGAGAGTGAGTGAGAGAGAGGGAGCACAAGCAGAGAGAATGGGAGAAGCGGACTCCCCACTGAGCTGGGAGCCTGATGTGGGACTCGATCCCAGGACCCTGAGGTCATGACCTGAGCTGAGGGCAGATGGTTCACTGACTGAGCCCCCCAGGCGTCCCTCTAATCTTTGTTCTGAAGTCAGATGTGCTCAGGGGAATCCTCTCTACTCTCACTGTCTTGATCCTTAAAAGGAAGGCAGACAGATGTTCCTCTGAGCGGGTATCGCCTCACGGTTCCCTGCAAAAGCCCTATAACAAATGCCGTAAACGGGATGAGAAAAGCCAGGTGAGAACCAGAACAATACACAGAGGGCCGACGTTTGTTTTATAAAGGAGATTACGTATTTTGTCCCTGGAAACATTCTGTCTTAGAGGTCGGAGGCTTCGTGCAGCAAAAGCTCTTGCCTGACTCCATGAAAAGCGTCCCTGGTCCTAGGAGTTGGTCATTCTTCTGCTCCTCCCTTTGGAGGACCACACCGCACACCAGCACAGTAAAGACTCTGATGAGTCCTGCAGGGACGAAACCTGTTTACTCAGCCCGTCACTTCCCCAAATGATTGATTCAGGAACATCCCGGGTTTTGTTCTGCTGTTTTTCATGGGACGATGCATCTCATACTTTTTCGTCACAAGCTGGGGTGAGCGAGTGAGACAAATGGCTGCAGCGGCTCTGGCTGCCCTGAGGGCTGGCGGGATGGAGAAGAGCAGGGCGCCTGTGTACCATTCTCCAGGCCCTCGCTCTTCCCCAGCCCATCGCGGGCAGGTCTCCCTCTCCCAGCGGTCCCTGAACTGGCCCTTGTCAGCACAACCCAGGAGCTCAGTACCCCGAGGCCGGGCTCTATTCCACTGCAATGAGCTGGAACCTCTGTGCCCTTTGCGGGCTCTCCCGGGATTCTGATACCTCGAGTTCTCAAACCACCGCCCAAGTCTGTTGGTTCTGAGACTTTGCTGTGCCCTGAATCACCTGGGGCCACTTAAAGATGAGAAGTGTGGGTCACACCCCAGACCACGGAAGTCACACGGTCTGACTTCCCAGGTACTGCCAGTGTGCGAGCCGCATCTGAAAAGACACGGCTCTGGTCTGTGTCTACACTGTTGCTTGTCAAGCTCAGGTGTGCATGTGATTCACGCGAATCTCAGTCTCTCATTCAACAGATCCAGGTGGGCCTGGGCCGGACCCGCCTCTGCAGCCGGGTAGGTTGTTAGAGATACAGAACTGGGTCCCCCCCAGAACTTGGGAACTGAATCCGCATTTTAACCCGAGTGATTCGTGTATAAGTTAAAGTTGGAGGGGTTCCGTGCTGGAGCGGGGGGCCCAGGGCCTTTGTATCAGGGACTCGGGGCCAGGGTGAAGAGGCTTTATTGGAGACGCAGGAGTCAGCAGGTGGGGACGGGAGAGTCGCTGTTCTCCGGACCCTCGTGTTACCCACACTCCCAGCCTGCCTCCGCACCTTCCTTCAGCCGAGTCCGTGGCTCTGGTGGCTCGGAGAAAACAAACGTTAGGAAAAGACGAGCACTTCCTCTCGTCCCCTTAGCATCTGCAGAGCATTTTCCACCCGGTGCTTGCGGTGTGTTTCAGAAATCAGCCTACCAAGCTGCCTAGGGCCCAGAAGGAGCTTGAGACACCTTCCCAGGATTGATGCTGTTTCTCAAAGTGAGACACATGTTTGGCACTGACAGGAACTTGGCTCCTGACCGGCCTCCTTGATCTGCTGCTAAAGGAAGCTGCTTCTTACCAGCAGTGAATATGCTGCCATGATGTTTTCAGAAGCGTTTCTTCCCCCCCAAACAGAAAAAAACCATGCTCATCTGTACACAAAATGCTGTGGTCTCGTTGTGAAGGCCTAGAAAGATCCACCATGGGACCACCAGCTGACTGGGAGGCTCTCAAAGGTAGAAGCTGGTTTAACTAATGTCTGCATCCCCAGGATGAACCCAGGACAGGCCCACTGTCCACATGCCGATAACCGTGACTCATGTAGGCACGAGAGACCTAACGGGGGTGTCACAGCAATGGCGCTGATTCTCCCTCCACAACTTCTCCTGTTTCACGCTTACATGGAGCTAATTCAGCTCCCAGTTGTGAAGTGTAATGCCCTCGAGTCCTTCAAATCTGCTGATGGTGTGGTGCTGGGTCTTGAGGAACCAAAATCATAGTCTCTATTCTCAGAGAGCTTATGGTTGGGTGGGAGGTGCTGCACGTTGTTCAAGCTGTCTTGCTGGTGAATGACAGGGGCACGCAGTTCTTAGTGGGTCCCTAACCACAGAACTTGACCTGGCCTGAAGGTCTATGTTGGTTACTGTGAGTGATTCTGAAGCCACAAGGAGGAAGGAAACTTGCCTGCCCTCACAGAGCTCAGTGTTTGAGGGGAGAAGGTGAGTAAGTAATGGTAATGGTGTGATACTTGGGGCTGAACCCATTCTCTCCTTTTCTCATAATGACATAACTGTGGCCCATCATGAGAGGAAGACGGCGGAGTGGGAAGATCCCGAGCTTACCTCTGCCCATGGACACACCAAGGCTGCAACTACTCGTAGAGCAACTCCCTCTGAGGATGACCTGAAGACTGACAGAACAGACCTTCCACAGCTAAAGACATAAAGAAAAAGTCACATCGAGAAGGGCAAGAGGGGCAGGGACAGGGTCTGATCGCGACCCACACCCCAGGACTGGTAACCCACAAGGAGGAGGGATATCACAGGCCCAGAGGTCCTCCCTGAGGAGCAAGTAGTTCATGCCCCACATGGGGCAGTCCCTGCCCTGGGAATCTGCACCTGCAGGAAGACAAGCCCCCAATATATCCGGCCTTAAAATTCAGCAGAGCTTAAATCTGGGAGAGCTGAATCCTACAGGAAACCGAAACTCTGCTGTTAATCTCATTTACTCTGAGAACCAGCACTTTTAAAAGTGCCTGGGTTATATGTGAAGGAGACTTTTTGATTAGTTTTAGGGCATGTGCCAATGGGATAGGGATCTGTAGGAACTGTCTCTGGGAATGGAAGTGCTGATAGGTAGCATTTTTTCTTGCCCTCCTTCTGTCTAAATGGCAGTATGAGAAAAGAAAACAGTATGTATGAAGGAAACCTCAGAAAGCTATCAGGTGATTTTCCAGCAGAAACTTTGCAGGGGGGAGGAAACAGCATGATATCTTCAAAATGTTGAAGGGAAAAACACCTGCAACCAAACATACTTTGCCTGGCAAGATTATCATTCAGAACTGAAGGAGAGAGCATTTCCCAGACAAACAGAAGTTAGAGTTCATCACCAGTAAAATGGCCTTATAAGAAATGTTAAAAAGTATTTCCTTAAGCAGAAATGAAAAGGTTATAACCAGAAGTAAAAAAAATTATGAAGGAAAAAATGAAAAATAAGAAGATGTATCGGGCTCTCTGCTCAGCAGGGAGCCTGCTTCCTCCTCTCTCTGCCTGCCTCTCTGCCTGCTTGTGATCTCTGTCTGTCAAATAAATAAATAAAATCTTTTAAAAAAGGATGTAAAATATGTCAAATATATAAAACATGGAGTGGGGCATAAAAACGTAATGCTTTTAGAATGTGTTGGAATTTAAGCAACCATCAACTTGAAACAGACTGCTATATCTCCATACAGTGAACATATGAACCTCATAGTAACCACAAACTAACAATCTATAATAGTTACACAAAAAGTAAAGAAAAAGGAACCTGAGTGCAAGACTAAAAAAGTCATCAAATCAAGAAGAACTAATTCCTATTCTCCTGAAATTGTTCCAAAAAATAGAAATGGAAGGAAAACTTCCAAACTTATTTTATGAGGCCAGCATCACCTTGATCCCAAAACCAGACAAGGATCCCATCAAGAAAGAGAACTACAGACCAATATCCTTGATGAATACAGATGCAAAAATTCTCACCAAAATACTAGCCAGTAGGATTCAACAGT